AAAGTTTTACTCGCCTAATTTTGCACAAAGTTTCATTCGACCGTTTTCCGTACTTTTTATTTGAAATACATCAAGATTTTCATTTTGCCGTATTCAGAACTATGCTACGATATTTGAATGTTAAAACAAAATTCAGATTGATCTTAACGTTTGATACAGAAAGAGGAAGCTGCCACACCCCGGTCTTGCGCGGCGTTAACTAATTTCGTATCCGAATCATATCACCGTGGAATTAAATCGATTCGTTTAATTTTCAATTTATCTGCAAAACTCAATACGTTTGCAATAGCAGCATTTGAATTATATGCGAAGAATTTTCTCATTTTGCCCTAACACTTTGCAGGCAGGATATTGTGTTGCGGCGGAAATTTGTAAAATACGCGCACAAATCTCGTGAATTTTCTGCGAGTTCTTCATCCTTCATCTTTTATTCACCTAACTCAATCCTCTCGTTGAACCTTGTAAGTGTAACAATGGCGTTTATAATACTGCTGCTTTTATAGAGATTATTTGATTATTTTATCGGTGAATGTTCCCGCGAATATACGAAAAGGACAAAGTTTATTTATACAGCCGGATATAAATGCGTAAATAGAGGTAATTTGGCCGGCAAGTTTTAGTGAAGCCCTCATTAGTAGTGAATCATATTTTTCACTTGTACTCACAGCGGTATAAACTTATTATACGAAAATAATTCCATAATAAATAAAATAATTAAATACATAGCATTAACCTAAATTAAATGTAGTTAAAAGTTAACAGCTATACACACCATTTATTACGGTTATTTCTGCTCTTTGTCTGGATATATTTTAAATGCGATCAAAATACATCTCACTAGATAAATTATAATTGATGAAGATAAATGAAGATAAATTTCGTTCTCTCTACAAAAATTTGAAAAAATTTGCGTAGCTTTATAAAACTTCAAAATTTTAAGATTTAATAGAGAACTCACTAAATTCTCGCGCTACGCGATTCAACTGATATCATTCCCATTATGTACGGCTGGCAATAAAATAATTTTTTGTTAAAATAATTATTAATCTTCTGATTACCCTTACGGAATTGAATGCAAATCGCAAGATAAAAATTTATACGATAGTATGGTAATGTCGACTATTAAACATTTTAGCATTTGCGTCATTAATGGAAAAGAAACGAGAAGCGAATGAAAAACGTTTACGAATCGAGAGCAATTTCACACCTATTTTGGACAGTACGTTCTTTACGGACTCGCCTCCGCGTAAGCGGAATCGTGACGTAGAAAAGGGCGTGGTCCCTTCTATCCTTCTATTTCAGACCGTGAACCACATCGCTTTCGAATGCAGACTATGAATAGCTTTCGGCAATCGATACGAAATCCATTGCAATCAGTATATAACAAATCAATGTGTTTGACATGTTTATTGTTAACATGTTTGTTTATTTATGGGCTACTTTGTTGGCAGAGTGAAAACCAGTCGGCAACTAAGTTAGCTGATGGTTATATTGTTGCCAGTGACCGTTAGATTTAGTTACAAACATGAAATCGTGAACTCTACGCAATGGATTCTGCGATGCTATCGATTTAACCGCTTGTACCGGAAATTAGCTACCTTCAATACTAAAGTTACTATGCTTTCAATCCCATTATATCTAGCAACGTCTAGGACATTAAAAAAAAACTTTTCTAAAACAAGTTATCCATATAAAGAGAGATATCTTTTTTCTTCATTTCTTATTAGGCATTTTTGCAAATATAGCAAGAAATGCATTGTAAAACTCAAAATATTTTTTTAAAGCAAATATAAATTAGTATTGCAGCATTTAGAAGTTATGTGAGCATTGAAAACAAATATTTATGCTCTTTTATACGAGCATTATAAGCATAATATTATTTATCTGAAAATAATTAATAGATTTTTTCATCAGTTTCACTTTTGTTCTCCATTTACTGTCGAGACAAAATTTGCAGTAAAAGACATGTTTTTCAATTTATATCGCTCCCCAGAGAACTCACTTCACAAAACTTTATTCATGAAAAACTCGCCTATCGCGTTACAAACTATGTTATGCAATATTTTTCTAGAGAACGAAACTGACAAAATTAATTTTTGCAGTTATGTGTTCATCACATTGGAATTTTTTCCAGAACTACGTAATGATACCAATAACAAAACTCGTATAATATATATATCATGAATCAAATATAGGATCAAAGTTACGGTAGCATTAAAAAGCCCGATTACCGCAGTAATAATTAATATACATATTTAAAATTCCTGAGAGAAAGAGAGAGAGAGAGAGAAAGAAAGAGACTCGATTATAATTATCCATTAAATTATCGCGTGTCTACTGTACTCACAATTAATTTTCCAATTAACCCAGTTCTTTATTTTAAAATATTTAGTATGGCATTTTTTAATTTCTATAAAATCGTGTTGCAGGTTTAATACAGAAAAGATATAAAATACCAAAAAAAAGAAAAGAAAATTGAAAATGTAGTTGTACATAAATATACATATTTTTATGCTTCTACTTTGTATATGTTTTAGAAAAAAAGTATAAAAGTTAGTTTAAAATGTAAGTTTCTTAACAAAATATATTTTAAACTAAATATATAATTATTTATGAAACAGTAGAGCAAAAAAAAATAGAAAAATAAAACATGTACAAAGAAATGTTCGAATTATGGACACATCGTCACATAATAATGCTCTCATTTTCCTTCCTTTTTGATTATTTATATTCTTTTTTACAAATACAAATTTCTATTTGTGTTAATAATCTTCAATTTAAGATAGATAGTAAACTTCAGAGAGAAAAAAGTAGGTATATTAATTTAGCAATCTTCATCAAAATGATAAAAATTTTGTTTTGTCATCAAAAAGAATCGCGGAAAAGCGAAAGAAAATAGCACAGTCTTCATTTATATAATGCAACTATGTTTTGACGACTGCGAAACGGAGCTGTCTAAAAATAGAAAATAATGTATCAGATTTACTAAGAGAAAAATGACTGTTTCGCAGAATGACGTATTTTAATGTCTTGAGCAATAACACCTATCCGTACATAAGAGAAAAGTATATCTAATGAAGCAAAGAATGAGTATGCAATTCTACGCGTGCGACGCAGAGTTTATATCGCGCTGAATCCGCAATGAAAATTACGTAGCTGTAGTTCGCGCAGGAGAATGTGATGTTATCATAAAAATGAATGATACGAAAAGAATACGTGGATGTGAGATACAGGAATATACTTAAGAAAAATTGAAAAGTTTCCTGCCAGATATAAACTGGTGCATTAATGACGTTTCTCTCGTGGAAATTTTTATAATACTCTTTTTCAATATTCTTTAACTTTTAATTCTTTGATATGTAAAAATAAACTTTCAGAACATATTAGCTAAAATAAAAGTATCTTGAAAAATTTGCAAAGCACAATTTTTTTCAATCTTTTGTACAAAAAATATTATTCTGTAATAAGAACTTAAATAAAAAATATTTGATGTTTAATTAATTAATTTTGTACTAGCGTGAAATTCGAATAAACGATGTAATAATTGCTCGTGCATCACTAAAGCAAAATATACTGTATAATAAAACAAAAGGTAGAGTATAAAAATGAAGAGTATGAAATGTATGCAGAGAAATGTTCGGATTGCTGTGTGCATTACGGAATTTCCATCCATCGTTAATGCTTGCATTTATAAATACATATGTAACCGAAATCATGAGTAACGGATTTTCATGACTAGTATTCCATGTTACTAATATATGTATGTATGTCACGTCACAAGTTCCGAACGAAATGCTCTGATCATATGATTTACACTAATAACTTTGGCGAAAATAAATGTACTATTTCAATCTGTTACGACTCATTGCAACTTTCCTTACAAGGCATTTATGCACGATATGACTGTTCTTGCTACTTTCTTCTTAATTATAAAAAATTGCTATTATAAATAGCTCTTAATAATCTGTTAATATAATATATTCAAAAATATAATAAAAAAGGTGTTAAAAATATTGAATATACACATATCATTAAATAAAATTTAAATGGAATTATATACTATATCATTAATTATTATTTTAATAAAAGGGAAATAAAATATTAAAATTAATTTAAATATCTAATTTTAGAATTGTTTGAATAACAGATCCAATATAAATTCATATTATTAAACCTTATTTCAGCAACCTATTTTTCAAATAAAGATCGTCGTTTTAAAAATAATAAAAGTTTGTAAAAAATAGTAAAAGTTTCTAAGGAAACACTTTTTAGAAATAATAAAATAAAAAGTTATACGAAAATATTAAATATAATACAGGTAGAACTTGTTTATGTTATGATTAAAATCATAAAATGTACAAGTTTATTTCAAAGGCTAATCTCTGTTTATATTTTAGTAATAAGCCAAAGGATCCATGTCACTTGCATTAGGTGAATCATATGAGTTAAGTGAAATCGTCTAATCCTTTCTGAATCTAATGAGAACCATGAAAGACCACGAGTATCAACGTACGCCACACTAGCCGCAAGTCTACCATCGACACTTACAACTCTAACTAAACGGCGTACACTAAAAGCAGGAGAGCATCACTCTGCTTGCGACTGTGCGATTTACGAGCCAGCGAGCGACCACGAACTCGCCGCATTTTCCAATCCCACGGACGTCAAACTTTAATGAAGTTTGCTGAGCCTCCAGTCACGTACGATTTACAGAAGATCTGACACGTCACAGTTTTCGACTATCCTCACAGCCGAACAGCGCAGTAATAAAGTACGCAGAAATGAGATAGAGATATTACGTGAGGAAAATTTTTCTTTCGAAGAATTAAAAAGGACGAAACAGTCAATCATATTCTCTTTAAATATAAATTGTATGAAAATATTTTGTATCAATATTGTATATATAGAAGAAAATAAGACAAATTTTATCAAAGCAAAGGAATATTGCACACACCTCATTAAATTCATAAAGGAAAATGTTTCAGAGAAGAAGCACTTACAATTTGCTGTTAACAGAAGATCCACAATCAAAGGTCCGCCTCCTCAGGACAGAGATTGGATAATGCAGAATCATGCGACTAAATGACCTGAAGAGAAAGATAAAGAAAGCAAATTAATCACAAATATAGACAGAGAAAGATATCAAGACCCAATTAAATGTATATAATTTGACTTAAAGAAACCTAGAATAAGTATAATGTGACAATAAGTGCATGCTTATGTCTGAGAGGAAGATAGACCAAATAAAAAAAATAAGCTTTACAGCCGTTTCAAGTCGAGACATATATTGCACCGTTTTTCTATGGAGGCAGGCGTGTTTATATGGCGACACATACGACCGCCTCTGCAGAGACATTACTCGAGGGTGAAAAGCTCTTCGCAGGAACGTTTCCGCGATCTCTTCTTGCTTGTCTCCGCTAAAACGATCGCCATTTGACGATACCATTTGCACAGCTTTGCGGTACTGCTATTGAAAATTTCTCACCGCACATACATTATCGAAATATCTTACGTATGTAGTTCTTTCGCAATCTAATATTGTACTATCATATGCAAACTATCATATGCTATCTTTTAGATTCTTGACTATTCCAATATTTCTTTTTTCTTAATTTGAAAACGGCAAAAGTATTTTTTATCTTTTTATTTATATGCGATTTAAAAAAAACTTTAAACATAAAGTTTTTACCTTCCACTTGTAAAAAGAGCACGTAAAGTTGAATCAAATTTCATTGTTATCTCGTTTGTGCGATATTGAGTGGTTTTCTCACTTGTGCTTACTTTGAGAAAACAAATCATGTTTTTTTAATCGATTCTCGTGTAATTTATAGCAAAGTTTTAATCTTTTAATTAACACCTACTTACTTTCTAGGTTAACAAACGAGCATTCGAATGACCACAAAAGAAATAAAGTAAATCTATCGTTTGGCGCACTAATGGTGAGCAATGGTCGGTTCCAATAATGGATAATAATTATCGCTTGGATTACGCTCCCATTAAATTCGACAATTTGATTAAATTGATCCGTGGTGCGCATGAGAAAATCGTTAAAAAATTTCACATTAAATGGAATGGAATTAAAACTGTGTAACATAGGATTCAGAATATACTTTGTGGTCCTAACAATTGTATGAATTCTGATTAAACACGATAATAATCTATTAATATTACGTATATATAACATTTATGTTTTAATAATTAATATTATCGTAAATGCTGTTTAAAAATATATTGTATAGTATTCCTATAACAATTGAAACTTTTCGTATTACTTTATAAGAAAAAACATTGTATCAGAATGATGGATCACTTGAATGTTAAAACATTTAAATAGCGAAAATTGAATGATAAAATATTCAAAAACTCGGAAAATGTCTCAGCCACCTACATGTTCACAGAAAAGATTTCACATTGAATATCATCTCAGTACATTATACAAAACTATTTTTATTCGTCTAATATATTTTAATTGTCGCCAAAACGTTTGGCGTATTAAGTCAGCAATAGAATGAAGAGGTGAAGCTCAATAGTTAAAATAGAATTGTGTATATCGATGAGTCATATTGATAAGGTTCTATTTATGTGCGAATATATTCCGTCGTCAATTAAATTCAAAATTGCTGGTCTATGCTCAGTGATAAGAATTTTGCAACAATTGTCAAAGTTATTAATAACGTCATGTATTGACGGTGATAATTGATAGTCATTTGTCATATGCCTGCACATGTCAGTTATTCGTCTAACGCATTGAGAACTGGGCATTGAATTGGCTCGATCATGGACGATGTTCGAAATACAAATCGGGGTTCGATTGTGTTCACTTCAATCACTGAATTCCGATCCAAGTGTTCTATTACCGGAACTTCCATCGTGAGCACGCTGACGTAAATAAAAAATCGCAATTAATCGATCCTCTGGCACGGTTTCGAATTTTTGGATTTGTGAGGATCTGGGGAAATTGGGTGGGCTCTCTATTTTTATGACATGCCAAACGCAAATCTGTCAAACAGCATTTTTGCTTTTTTTTCTTCCTTTGTCGCTGTCATCTAAACTGTTCTTAGCAATTTATTTCACGACAATTCAATAAGTTCCCTTAATAATTCTTCAAACCGTTTCATAGCACGTGCTGCATGAATTGATGGAAGTTAATTCGCTTCTTTTATTATTTCTTTCTATCTCTTACCGATTAATTTATTATGTACTATATTCTATTTTTTTTTAATTAACTTTCTTTGGCATCAAACAATGCAATAAAAATTTATATATATGTATGTATGTGTGTGTGTATATATGTGTTAATAAAGGTGGCAGCTTCCTACTCTTGAAATTCCCTACATCATTAGACTAATAAGGATATGGCGGAAAATTAAATTTGAGAGCAACGAAATTAGAGGACAAAAGCGAAATGAGCGAAGAAAAGTAGGTGATACGAATCCATATATGTATTACAAGTGAATCTATAAGCTAAAATCTAACTCATTTCTCGACGACAGCAAAAATAATAAACAAACAGACAACGGTAACACTATAATAAATTGTCCAATTTTTTAAGATCGATAAAATCTAAGTAATTTATTGTACCAATTTGTCTCCTTTGTCGATCAGCTGAAGTGCTCCTTGACAAATGTTACGTTATACGAAAACTGGTTATATGTTAGACGAAATATGATTTTAGTTTTTTCACTGTTTCCAGATAATCCTCGAGATTTCGCAGTGAAATAAATAACCCAGAAGTTTAAGAATTCTCAGAAAGATAAACCAAAACTCGACAAATATTTAATTAAAAATATTGGTTATTGTTATCAAATGGTGATTTCTTTTTCTAGGTCGCTAATTTACATGTATCCATTATGCGCCGTCTGTTCGTACATTTATCCCCGAAACTTTTAATCGGACTCGGCTTATACACCTAAACGAAGGAAAATATAACTCGCGTTCATTAATTAACTACGGTCACAAGATAAGTGAAAACAAATATTTAGACTACACGGAATATCGTGTACGCGATGATAAGAAGTGTATTCAGTGGGAATAATAAATAGCTACTTATAATTCTACCAGCCAAATCTGCAGATGAGCGAAAGGGATGTAAATGACGTTGTATGTAACCTCGTTGCTTGAGATAAATGTCTTTCGGCCGTACAACCATGAAAATTGTGTTAACCTTTATCTGAGTAATCCATTTTTTAAACACAAGTGAGCTATTCTTTTCTTAGAAAAGCTGGCATTATATAAAGATATTGAACATATTCATTTCTTTACAATAAAATATTGCAAAAATTTTTTTATATTTTAGCAAGTAACTGCAATTTATTTACTAAGTAATTCAACAAAATTGAGACCTAACTTTTGCCACATTTTTTATTTTTTTCAGAATGTAGTACATGATACGATTAGTTTGTAAGACAGATTGTATATTGTATATTTTATTTTTAAATATATTCTTTTAATAAGATTAAAATAAAATTAATTGGATCCACTTACCGGCACGATGCGCAGCAGCGGAGTTGTTCATATGTTGATCTGTAACATATAAAATTTATTCAAATTATTGCAGCGTTTAAAATAATTATTTGAAAAATAATTATAACGGACATTAAACTTTTACTCATCCTGCTCTTTAATAAAAATATCTAACAAAAAAATGATATGTTTATACCTAATAACTTTAAATATTAAAAAATGCAACTTTTTTACTGAATATTTCAAAGTTTCTTCGTGCGTTAAATCACATAATATTTTATGTGCAATATATTGTGTGAATAACAAATAATAAATAAATAATTAATTACCTAAACGTTGTTCCGCCGGTGCCTGATGCTCCTCCTGAGCCTCCTCCTCCTCCTTTCAGTTTTCGCAGTCTAAGGAATTCACTCACGTTCGCGTCGCGAATACGAAAATCGCCCGATTTTTTAAACGACATTCCCGACGCGTACTTTGTCAGTTTGAGACAAAGATGTAACTGGAATATTCGCACGGAATACACGTTCGACACTCGCCGCAATAGGTGACGACGTTAAAAGGATGAGGTGGAAAACTGTGGAAAGTGGTAAAGGTATTATTGAAGAAGATAACGCGCCGATACAGAATCATTTGCCCCGTACAAGTGCCGCCGTGCGAATAATAGTAGGACAATAGCAAGCACAAGGTCGCGCCGATTCCGACTTAAAGGAATGCGAGGAGTAGGGAGAAACAGTGTTTATGTCAATACATGGCGCGCGCGTGAGAGAGAGAGAAAGGAAATATAAAGTGCGCATACCAAGCATGACGACAACAACCCCACCACACGCAAGTGTTTTCGATCTCAAAAGCATTGAAGCAAAAGATTAAATCGAGTTAAAATCGAGTTTTAACTCGATTTTGATAAATGTTCGATAAATGCCCTAATGTTAAGAATTTCGAGGGCGACTTGCAGCATTTGATGGGGTTGTTTTCGTCGCCCTTAGCCTGCGTTATTCATATCCCTCCCCTCTCTTCCTCTTGCGCTATGTATCGGCATGCACATTATTGCAGCCTACTTTCCGTTTTCTCCCAAATCGGAATCGGTGTGACTTTGTTCTTGATATGTTTATTACACTCTTATTATTCACACCGTGGCCCCTCATACAGCGACAGATCGTTCCGCGTATCGGCATCTCTCCAATAGTACTATCATTATTTTCCATAGTTTTTGATCTCGCCCTTTCCATCGTTACTTGTTACAGACGCGGCAGAGTATCGAATGTGTAATCCGTGTGAGTATTACTTTTGTTCTAATAACGAAGTATGCGTCGATAGTGCCATTTAAATTATTATGCAATTTTTGTATTCGCGTCGCAAAGTACCTTAAGAGATTGAATAGGATACTGATTGAAGAACACTGATTGAAGAATATTGAGAGGAGGCGGAGACTCCGGATATCGGAAAAAGGACATCGGAAACCGGCGGAGCAATTTTAGGATAAGTAATCATTCATCTGTTATTTGTAAAATATTGCATATCAAATATCATGTAATGTAATACACATAGAAACTTTGAAATATTTACTAAAAAATTTGCAATTTTTAATATTTATGGTTATTAGATATAAATATATAATTCTTTTATTAGATATTTGCATAAAAAATGAGCAAAAGTTTAATGTGCGTAATAATTATTTTTTAAATAATTATTTTAAACGCTACTATAATTTGAATGTACTTTATATGTTACAGATCAATTTGTGAACAACTCTACGCTGCTATGCATCATGCCGATAAGTCAATTCAATTTTGTTTTATTTTGATATCATTAAGAGAACAGATCTCAGAATAGTGTAAAATACATACAGGGGGGAAAATTTATTATATATATATATGAACACCGGCAATCATTGTATACTCATCTTATTGATTTATGCTTTGGTCAGTGCAAAGCAGCAGTATTGTGGACTATCTTGATCAATCGCTCATGTAGAGCAGAGTGATTATAGTAAGCGCTGTATTTGGCAGTATCGAGTTTGTTATCTCAATAAGTACTTAGAGGGATTAAGGTTTCTAATCGCTTCAGTTCACCGGCTTGTTTGTTATCTCCTTGTATTATCAGCACAATGTTCCGATAAGCTTCGGATTTACTTATGCTAAACTTTATTTCGAGCAAAACAAAATAAAATATTATTTCATCATTATTATTAATATTAATGATTGTCATTTTATTCTAAAAATTATTAATATATATAGAATTGAATATGATATCAATTTTGAATTGCTTACTGTGCTTTGTAATAATGCAAGAACTACTTACATAGCACAAACAAAAGAAGATTCGAGAAAACTTCTTTAATATAATATTATTTTTGATATTTTTATATTACTTATAATACATATAATACATATGTTTCTCTTGATTTTATATTTTTATTTTTGAATATATCTGTCATCTGTAATGTGTACAATTTTCTATTTAAAAGTGGTAGCTTATTTTAATTAATTTCCTCCAGTACAGGCTATTATTTTTTTAAATCGATATGCTCTTTATTTTATGGCAAAATGCAATGTTTGATGAAAGATCGAGAATCACGATCACAGTCATCAGGAAATCAGCTCTAAAAGTTTTCAACTAAAATTTCCAGAGACACATATATTCGAATTCGGAGAAAACCAATCAATGTAATCGACGACAGAACACAGTTAAATTGAAATTCCGGCGTACTTTTCCATCGGTTCTCACGAGTTCTTCGAGTTTTAAGTGGCACGGCAAATATTGCACGGAATTTCGTCGCTGTCATCCAATGAAAGGACGAAAGTGCCAACAAACGTATTTCAATAATGCTTTTGTGCAACCTCCAGATGTGCAACTCAAAGGCTAAACTATTCACAACGGGTGGCGTTGCTTACGAACTCTCCAAACTCTTGCGAGCTTTGCCACCCTAATAATTACTTCATTTTCAAGAGAGACGAACGCCCTGTTTATTGGTCATTTCACTATCAAAAATTTTCGTTGATTATACCAATACATATTCAATGCTATTTTCTCTCCATATTTCAATATGGAAAAATATTTTATTTATAATAACTGCATATTTCACCTTTTTGTACAGACATTATTATAATCCTTTTTTTAATGAAAATTCAAGCAAATGTATCACACATTTTATAATTCATAAATAGTAAAATATATGCAACAAGTATAATATATATGTACATTTTTATTCGTAATATGTTCAATAAAATCGGATATATTATTTTAAAATATAAATATTTTCGTGAATTAATTCTCTCTTTTTAAAATAAAGAATTAACGTAATGTACGGTGAAAAATATTTCAATATCGGCGATTATAAAACCCGAATTATTTCGCCGGAGCATTCGCAAGTATTTCAAAAAGCGAGAGACGTTGTTGCTGAATTCTTACCGTTGTAACATTCGCGAAAAAAGATGGGAACGCAACCGGAAATGATCTCTTTTACGGCGCGCTAATGACTCTACCATTCTCATCTTTTAGCGTCGCGACGGCGGTAATGCGCACAAGGGATGCTGACACTTCCCTGCCGCATGTTGTGGAACAGCTAGCCACGCACGTACCACATATTTAACCGGTATTGTATTTATACGGTAGGTACACATGAACATATGAGGCGCATGTATACATGATATATGGAATATCATGGTACAACAATCCCGCTATAATATCGATATTTCAGAGAGAGGGAGAGAGAGAGGAAGAGAGAGAGAGAGAGAGAGAGAGAGAGAGAGAGAGAGAGAGAGAGAGAGAGAGAGAGAGAGAGAGAGAGAGAGAAAGAGAGAAAAGAGAAAGAGAAAGAGAGAGAGTAACGTAGCCATTTGCTTTATAATTACATTAATTTTATATTTTCTCTTCTCGTTTTCTATATCGCAATTTTGAAGTTGTTTTCATTAATTATTAATGTTATTATTATATTTGACTGTCTGCGTTGAAATGGATCGTATTGAAATTAAAAGATTATGACAAAACTATTTAATTTTGATTAAAAAAAAGTTATATCTTCAAAATGTATAATATTTATAAGGCTTTTTTTACTTAGATAGACATACTAGTAACGATAAAAATTATTTTAAACAATTTACTATATATATATATATATATACATATATATTTCTGATAGTAAAAGAATCTACATTGTGATAGAGTTATGATTAAGTATAGTAAAGAAACGATATTATAGTTTGCTTGTTCGACTGAAAATCATATCTTGTAAATGCGCAAAACTGAACACAACAATAGTATTGAATAGCACTCTTCCATCTGATTAAGCACATTGATTCCAGTAAATGAGCAGTATCAACTTTAACCGGATGAACTCGCGTGAATTCTAGGTGAAGTGAGAAATCCGAGATCGCAGAAAAGCGGGATTATAAATTGCATCGTCACGAAACACGAAAATGCACGTGAGAAACGACGACTATGGCATATTATTATTTCTCGCGGTACTTCTCGCGATAAAGCAAGAGATGCAAGACAAAGTTTGATATAGTATTTCACAATAAGAATGCAGCAAAGTTTGACAATTTAAATAGACGAATCGACGGCGAAGCATTCAAAGTTTTTGTTTTAAAGCGGAGTATATGTTGATTTTTCAAATGACACAAACACCTGCATTTTCTGTAATAGCGGCAACTTAATTAAAGTAATTATTAGCGAGATGGACCTACATCGCCTTTCACCATCATCTTATGAAGGGTATAGCGCAGCAACCTGCCATGAGTCAGAGAGTAAAGTACAGCTAAAGCAAGCCTTTTCGAGACGAACTTTAGACGGCAGAGGTGCCGTGAAAGTGGAACTTAATCATGTTGGGGCAGCAAGTCAGGCTAAGGCGAGAGCAAACATTTATTCCGTGTTCTGATATACCACGGATGTCATCTGGAACGATTCAAGACATATCTCGTACACAGCTTCTGTGTAATATATGCTCTTTGCTAGTAATCGTCGTTTTCGTTTTATCATAAATTTATCGCATATATTAAGAACATATTAAAATATTATTATAATCGTGCTCGTATTGCATATATAACAATTTATAAAACATGAAAAGAAAACACGATGTAGAAAACGTATATCTTTTTACATTAATAATTAAAATGTAAGTTTAAACGCGAATAATTGAAACTGTTAATTTAAATAGCTTCCACTTAGCTAATTCAATTAAATTACTTTTTTAGTTGAAACCACATATGCATTTAAAATAAAAATATTGAGGTACGTTACAATAACAAAAATAAAAAAATATTTGTTTTTTTTTTTAACCATTTGTAAACCATAGAAATTTCGCAAATATCTTTATGCTTTTGTAATTTAAGCAATATATAAATTTGTGGTTAAATAAAATTCGTTAAAACTTGTTGGGAAAATACTGATATTGGATTGAAATATTTTTAGTAAACTCTAACCCTTCAAAAATATTCCGTAAGCAGAGAAGTGATTGTAAACTGCTGACAAGTTTGGCCTACGCAAGTTGATCCCCAATTTCAACTTTCAATGCCTAGAAAAGAAAAGATTCGAGTTTCTAGAGGCTATGAGATGTGCAGAAAATATGGTGTCAGCGATCCAACCCACGTTTTCTTGTCGCGAAAACCGATGTTCTTAAAGCGACACGATAAGAAAGACTAGAAT